AAAGTATATATACTATATATGCGAATCCAGCCAGGGGTATTGTTTGATTTCAGTGTGCACAAGGGCCAAAAGGCTCATCAATTTTAGCCGAATTTGTTATTACTAGCAAAAATATCCGTGCGTTGCTACAGGACGTATAGTTTATAGTCTAGTCACTTGTACGGCATGAAGTTCAGAAGATTTGTTCAACAATCGCGTCACGCGTTCGCATTCAACTTGGAATCAAACTCTATAACATGTTCGGACACGCTCTACTCGAATTCATATAGGTAAAGGACGTATGAAGTTTTATCCAATGATCGGGTCATGCATTTCAATTGTTTTGGAATCGAACTCCCCACCGTGTCTTAACATAGTACTCTAAATCATAAAGTATGGGAGAGAGAAAATGATAACAAAAGCAATAATATTTACTCAAAATAATTATAACCTTAATTTTCATACTATCCAAGCGTTGGTATAGTTAAATATCGAGGTTTTTTTTTACTTATTATGAGGATTCATAAAAATCTGTAGTTCATCGTATTAAGCCCAAAAATATTTACTTGTAAATATATCCTAACCTTAATTTCCATACTATCCATGTGCTAATATAGTTAAATATCAAGTTTTGTGGCTTACTTTGAGGACCCATAAAATTTATGATTCATCTTACTAAAACTAATAAGAGTTAGTTAGTAGAGGCAGCCTCCAAGCGCGCTCCATTGCCAGGCATGTCTCCACCATGTCAATGTCGTCCACTCGTTGATTTTAATCTATCTTTGTGGGGTGTTTCATCGTGATTTTGGCCGATGTCGGTGGGGGAGGCGTGTACAAAGAATTTTTAATCCATGGCCAAGACGTGTGAATCCATAGTAGGCGGAGCGCTAGAATTTTTAGCCATCCATTGAGCCTGTTCATCTACCATATCGACATTCTCGCTGTGCAGAAGCCAATGACAAGATCTTGCAAGGCTTAGTTCATCTACTTCGTCTAGAACTTAATTGCCATCCTTCAATCTTGTTCTTTTTTGTTTTTGTTTTGAGACATCCATTGAGGTAGAGATGCGCATACGGCTGTCATACTTTTCCTTTTATTTGTCAGTTTTCTTTCTTCCATTTTCTTTACTTCCCTGTTTTTTTATGGATTAGCTTCAATGAGCTACAATTGGACTCCATATTCAGCCCCTTTGGATTGGACAAAAAAAAATCAGAAAAAGGAAAACTTAAAAAACGGATAAAACAAGGAAACTCCTCAGGGCATATGTATTAGAATAGGATTAGAAAGGGACTTTAACTCAAAGGCAATCCTTGTTGGCCCATATATATTTATATGCATGCTGTGGACGTATGACTCATGAAAAAGAAAAGAAAATAGGATGTGCAACTGGAAATTCGAAAAGAATACGGATGGATGGATGGTGTCATGGACTGAAACGGGAAAAAGAGCGTAGCCATGCAGAAGATTTCTATTCTTATTTTTTCTATTTAGATTAGGATTCTTATTTAGATTACTTGGGATCGGAAATATCTAATTGGATTAGGATTTCTATCTATCTAGACTACCTTAAGTAGTCCTGCGCTGTTATATAATAAAGAGAAGGGTTATACGCGGTTTCCATATTCATGAAAATTAGTTGGAGTAGGCCATACCAAAAAACATGGGTAAAAAAAATAGGCTGAAATTTTATCTCTTTATTATTAGGTATAGATTTAGTTTAGGTCAAATAATAAGTTATGACATCCATATTTATTTTGGCACTTTGATTTTTTTTAGAGCTAGCCAATTCAGTCTCCCTTTTTTCGAATCGCAGTACAAACACAATTACCTCTAAGAACACGTGCACACATTCTACTCTCATGAGCACCTCCGAAAAACTGATACTAGGTCGGCAGATCTAGAGATTGACGAAATCACAACAATGCATAGGCGCTTCCTTGTACAAAAACTTGACTTCTCTTTCACATGCTTCCTCTGATAAATGACAAGTAGTCCAACAAACCCTACGCAAGGGCATATGTCATCACGGAGACATCTCTTATAAAAATGTGATTTCATTTACTACAAAGCGTGTCCAGCAGTAGTGGTGTTCTTATCTAGTTTTATGAACTTATTGTGCCTCTACTCTCTCTGATTGGAAATAATCTCAGACCCACTCAGATTTTATACATCAATATATTAAAAACTGCTATATTGAAAATACGAAAGTAATGCCAGTAGATATACCATTTAAATTAGATAGAAGCACAGGGTAGTATTTTTATTTTTATTTCCCATATTTTATAACAATCTTCAATTAAAGGCCATGTTCGCTTGTCTTATAATCCGTACTTTTTAGCTTGTTTTTTCAGTCGGAACCGTGTTTTTCTCTCACAATAAATCAGCCAACAGTACTTCGAACGGGGGCAAAGTTAGTTCTACCCTATAGACCATATCAATAATATTCTACATGATGCATACGACTCATCTATTTAGTTTCTATGCATTAGGAGCAGAGGATTGCAAGACCCTCTTGCTGATAGCATGCCAATTTTGATTTTCAGGAACTTCTAGTAGTAGGGCATCATCTTGTCAGCAACAAGGGGATAAAAATGCTAATGAGTATGCAGCCAAACAATCCAATATATATAGCTAGCTTGGTGGTTGTCAACTATGAGCTTTTAATCTTTGTTTGGTGGCTTCCATTGACAATATGAGCTATGTGCAAGAACCAATAAGAATATGTAATTTAGGGCCTGTTTGGTTTGCACGATGGCAAACCTGCCTGGACCAGGCAGCTCGGCCAGGCGTTGGATTTCCAGCGCCTGGGGCTGAGATGCATGCCTGGGCCTGAGATTGCCTGGGGGCACCAACCAAACAGTGTGTTAGTATCTATTGATCACTTTGGTAGTCTAGACTTGAGCTTATGAATGAATAAAGCTTTGATGGATGCATTAACATGGATACCAGATTTTTAGGTCTAGTGTATAGTAATTTAATGTAAATTAGCTTTCTTTTTTTATCTATTTAAATGATCCGTTGAACTATCAGTCGGTAAAAATCCTTTAGGTGCCTGATCGAGTGACCGTACGTCGGCTGGTATAACTTTTGTACCAACACTAACAACAACTGAGAGGTAGAGTCGGCATAGATATATACTGACTGTTGGTTAGTCACTATAGAGACTTTTACTGACACTAACAAAGTCGTTATATTTTGTGTGTGATACAGTGGACAAGGATAAACTCAGCTATGCCTTTTGACGACCTATGCCCATCGGATGGAATGGGAGGAAGCATTGGTGCTTAAATCTTATTAATGCAATGCCGGTCTCAATGACTGGTTCCAGCATGGGTCACCATCCATCACAAAATGGTGGTGGGAAGGAAAATTAGGTCAAGTGTCTCCTATGAGTTATAAACCGGGGGATCTATCTAAACGATGCTATCGGATTAATAAGTAGTCAAACATGGTCTCTCCAACATGGGTGTGTGATAGGATGGGGTACCCCGCCCTGCAATTCCCCAGTTTATTTCAAATCCCTTTCAGGCCCCGTTTGGTTGCAGGGAAATGATTCTCAGCCACACAGATCTTTCACAAATTTGTATTAGCGCGGAAATTTTCCGGGCCCAGAACGGCCGGTTCCAAGAGAACGGAACGGGGCCTCAGTGTGAGTTCAGTTTGCATTAAATGTAGTTGTCTTGGACTATTCAATATTGTGGTAAAGGAAATGTGGATTCCAGTAACATGATAGATGGGTAGTATGTCATCTTTGCTAAAAAACATGTTAATGACCAATGTTTCAAATTAGACAGAGATATATGTTATTAACAATGAAGAAAGGGACTAGATATATCTAATAGAAACAGTTAACAGTTAAGAAATTTTGACTAGATCAGTTTGTAAAAGCGAGAAGTTTCTAGGAAACGTTTTAGGTATGCCTGTTGTTTGCGGCAGTATATATAGTTTTACTAAAAATAGAAATCAATTATTTTAAAAAAGTTTAACTAAAATCCAGATACATAGCACTAGTAGGACACTGTACTCCAGAAGAGATTAGCTGTGCCATGTGATTTTCATGCATTGAATTGGGCCAAATAAATGTAAGACAGCTCTAGGTCCAATCGAACCGAAGCTCTCAAATTTTCAAGTACACATACATATCGCAAATTAAATGGATGTACAAGCTCACTAATTTTATTTCCTCTTGGTACCCCACATGTTAAAAAAGCTATGCAATTCACACAGAAATGATTCATGAATGAGATGCATCACATCTTGGAAATCCAATTACTTACCCCGAGCTAAGAATCTCTTGCAATATCTTGATCAAAAGGCTTATTTCTTTTATTTATATCTAACACATGCTTTAATTCAAGTAATTTGGAAAAGAACCATTCAGTTATTTACATTTGAATTTGCAATATGCTAGAATTTCATCAAAATTCCACAAGATAATTCTACAAAAGCAAACATTTGTGTAATGGAATAATAATAACACGAAGAATATATGGAGCTAGATGAAGGGGGTAATATAATTGAGCATCTATTATAACATCTAAATATATAGATCTTTTAATTTATAAGATGTACACTTCTTTCTAGTATCGACCACTCTCATGCATGGTCCATTTAGGAACCTATCATTAGTATAAGCTTACATGATCAGTTCCAAACCCTAACATCAGAGAAACAACAACAGCGAAAAAAATTAAAAGAAGGGATTAAAACAAACTAGATCGAACACCCAACTCGATCCAAATCACCGAGAATTCAAAGACACTTAAAGCCCTGTTCGCCGGTCTGAACTTTGGCTGAAACTGGCTGAAAAACACTGTTCCGGCTGAATTGTTGTGAGAGAAAAACACTGTTTCGGCTCAAAAAATAAGCCGAACAAGCCAAAGCCAAATTTAAGACAAGCGATTTTGTTCGATTTCTGCTTAACTAGTTACCAAACTCGGCGATTAATTTCTTCTTTTTGTTCTTGCATCTCTACTTGATTAATTAACTTGCTTTTGGTTGTACTTGTACCGCGGCCTTAATTAAAAGAACTCACTGGGGTCCCCTAATGGCACCACGTCTGCCACGAGCCCCACCTCGCCGTGCCCCATGCCGTCGTCGAGCAGCCAGCTCTCCAGCATCGAGAACACCGGCGGCGCGGAGGCGGAGCCCGCGCCGGCCGAGCCGCCGGCCATCTTGCTGGTCTCCGTCGAGCACTCGGGGGTCTGCGCCGCCGTGTTCGCGGCCGCCCCGCCACTGTGGCTCGCCGACGCGGACGCCGCGCCCTCACCGGAGCACTGCGGCCGCTGCTGCGTCGTGGCCGTCGTCGACGTCGAACCCGACGCCTCCGGCCCCTTGCCCCCGCCGCCGCCGCCGGGGCGCAGCCACCCCTCCAGCAGCCGCGCGATGTTCTCGGCGCTAGACGCGTACGTCGTGCACCCGGGAGGAGTCGTCGGCAGAGGCTCCACCTTCGCCGGCGCCAGCGGCGCCGAAGGCTCCAGCGAGAGCGCGTCGCGCAGAGCCTGCCGCGCCGTGTGGATGTCGGTCTGCAGCCGCCGCTCCCACTGCCCCTTGGGTACGGCCGGACGATTATTCCCTCCCCCGCCTGCGGTGCCGGCGCCGCCGCCCTCCGAGGCACCCGCGCCGCCGTCCTCTCCCCCTTCCCCTTCGCCAGCCTGCATCTTCTTCAGCTTCTTCTTGAGATGCGTGTTCCAGTAGTTCTTGATGTCGTTGTCCGTCCTCTCCGGCAAGTAGGATGCTATCGCCGCCCACCTGCACGGCAGATCAACAAGCTCATCAGGGGGGGTGAAGAAAGGGAACAAAAGAAGACAGGCGAGGGATCAACACCTGTTGCCAAGGAGAGCCTGGAGGTGGATGATGAGCTTCTCCTCCTGCTCGGTAAAGTTGCCGCGCTTGATTCCCGGCCGGAGGTAGTTTGTCCACCGCAACCGGCAGCTCTTGCTGCACCGCATCAGCCCTGCACGTACGCGCACACGTGGCGGCCAAAAAAGAAAAATCAGATAAGCTTGGGAGCTTGGATCTTGAAGGCAGGTAATTCCGTCCACCGCGTCGTCATCAGAGATTCATCACAGACCGGTGTTGGTCGGCACGGCGCGCCAGTTGCCGGGGCCGTGCTCCTGGACATAGGAGACGAGCATGAGGTCCTCCTCGGGGGTCCATGGCCCTTTCTTCACTCCCACCTTGTCGCAGCACGGCGGCCTCCCCATGCCACCGCCTCCAGCCTTTTCCGCTCCGGCCGGCCGGCAGCTACTCTCGATCTCTAGCTCTTGAGCGCGGTGGTTGGTGAGCTCGATCGTTTGCTCAGACTCAGAGAGATAAAAGCACCGATCGACCGATTCCGTGCAGACGAGTGGGGAGGTAAAAGGGGTGGGGGCAGGATGCATATATATATACACGCACAGCACGAGCTAGCAAAAGGAAGAGGAGGAAGACGAAGAGAAGAGAGGTATAGTATGAGAGTGCAGTGGCTGCCACTGGAACACAGTTTGACCCGGGTAGAATGCTGAGCTAATAATCAACGGCGACGTGACATGTGTTACATCCACATGCCCTCATGGGCACAGATGGGCAGATGTGCACAGCGCGGCAAGCGAAAAGGGCCGGGATAGAGAAACAGGCCGGTCGAGGCCAACCCGCAATGGGGGCCTGTCTCAAGTCTGAACCCGATCGGCGGGTTTGGTAGCATAATAATAACCTGGACTGTTTTATTTTGCTATAAAAAACCGGGATTGTTTTATTTGCTTTTCCATACGGATATGTTTTTAAATTTTATGGTGCATTACAATTAAATGCGTTCTGTGCATCTTTTTCTCTTGACATGAATGGCTGACTGCACAGCGTAATGAATTTGAAATAAATGGGTGGGTGTATATATCTTGGTAAGATGCTAGTGAATACAAATGATTTTTTTTTTTTGCAATAATAGTTGTGTATACCTTGTCAGTGAATCTATCTGTGCCATAGTATAATAAAGATGTGGACATGTGGTACATGCTCGAGCAAACGAGACAGAAATTCTACATGGTAATAAGGGCAATGGAAAAAATCTAGCTCCTGTAGTCTCAGTGGTGAACATAATAGTGGCTATCATAATCGTACCCCGGTCAATTTGCAACTCAATAGATAAGGACAAGTACAACCCACAGACTGGGAGCGTCTTGAATCTATCATACAGATAGATATAATAACAGGTCATACAACCCACAGATAGGAATCCGTCTCTAAGCTGTTTAATGCTTTGCATTTAGATAGGATCAACTATAAATAATTTTTTGTATACCATTGTGTTGCTATTTGATAGAAAATGTATCAAGGATAAATAAGAGCAACATGATTACAATATTTTTTAAAACCATCAATATAATAATTATATTATATATAGTTGCAACGTCTTTTGTCTAATTTCCTTTGTTACCATAGCGTTATGTGCTCAATTAGATCCTTCTTGAGTTTCCTATGTGTTGGCTGAGCTTTGATAGCGGAATTTCTACGAAGTACCTCCGCGAAGCATGGATCAGGGTTGTCGCTTGTACGCACTTCAGGTGGGAGCACTATTGTCGCACTTGATTCATTCAAATCCAAGACTTCTCTAATTGATTCCTTCTCATATTCCACTATCATATTGTGAAGGATAACACAAGCTTGCATTATGTTGATAACGTCCCACTGCTTCCATAACTTTGCTGGTCGACCAACAATATCAAAGTGTGATTGCAACACACCAAATGCGCACTCGACATCTTTCCTCACCCCTTCTTACATCAATGCAAATAATTTGTCTTATGCCGACTGAGGGGTCGTGACTGTCTTCACGAATACTGCTCATTCTGGATATATTTTATTGGCAAGACAGTAACCCATGTCATATTGTGTTTTGTTTACGTCATAGTGTACCACAGGAGCTTCTCCTTTTATTCCTTGAATGAATAGTGGTGACTTGTTTAGAATGTTTATGTCATTCTGAGACCCAGCGGTACCAAAGAAAGCATGCCAAATACGAAGATCCCGAGTTGCCACTACTTCAAGGATCATAGTAGGAACACCTTTGTCACCACGTGTGAACATGCCTGCCCAACCTTTCGAACAATTCTTTCATGCCCAATGCATACAATCGATGCTTCTCAGTATTCCTGGAAAACCACGAGCCTCATTTCTTGTAAGATTTTTTCCAGTTCATCGCTTCTTGGAGGGCATAGATATTCTTCACCGAATTTTTCAATCACTCCTTCAGCAAACTTTCCCAAAATCTCCAAACAAGTGCTTGCAACAATCTTTAACACCTCATCAAGTTGATTAGCCGAGGTTCCATAAGCTAGCACATCCTGATAGCCGTAGTACACTTTTGTCGGGGTCATAACCCCAGGGTGTCTCAAGGTACCGATTAGTTAGCAAGTCACGTGGCCTACAATGCAACAGTCAGCAAGGGCCCAAACGACCGAGGCCTAGCGAAAGCCGAGCAGAGCGGGCTAGCCGCCAAGGCCGGGGTCATCCCCGACCTCCTCCACCCGCCTTAGCACACAACGCTCATAAGATGCACGACCTCTCCCCATCATGACCCCCCGGAGGGATGGGGGGAGGTCGAGTGCAGCTAGGCGTGCCTGCTCTGACAAGAGCAAGCATGCCACGTTGATCCCGCAAGGACCGAGGGGATAACAGTCACCTCGGCCCGGTCAGACACCATCCCTGCGCCACGCCGCACCGATGAGACAATACCGCATAGCAAAGGCAACGGGTACGAAACCCACCATCTAAATACGGACCAACAAGATGTATGTATGATCCCACCCACTATAGGATGGGATCCACGACAAAGGTCTCAGCACAGAGGCCATCTGACCGGCTGAAAGCCCTGACCCGGATGAACGGGGTCGTGGCCCTCAGCCCCATGAAGCGACCAGGAGATCGATGACCCAGGGCGGCTACCAACTCCCGTACGACGCCCTAGGAAACCAGGAGATGGCAACGAAGGCCATGATTTATACCGCGTCGCACCGGACGACTAACGAACCACCACCATGTCTATAGTGCCGCCACAGCTAGCACAGTAGCACCACGTCACACCCTACCATGGCATGGCCTCAGGACCATGACGATAGCCACGCCCATGCAAGCACCAGAAGACGATGCAGCTTGCAAGCCAAGTTAGCTAGGACCTCCCTCAGGCTCCTGACCCTTCGGTCGGGGGAACCTCCTACGTTGTATGCGCCCTAGCTCTGAACTCTATATAAGAACAGCCAGGGCACCCTCTCTAGATATTCTGAATCATGTACCATTCCATTCATTCACCATTGTAGTAGGGCTCTTGGGGCTTCCCTTCGGGTAGCCCTTCACCTAGCATAGGTCCTTCCATCTCTTCAACCATTCTTGCACCCCCCCATTGTAAAAACTTCAGAGCATTCAAGCGAGGAACACGCACTCGATCATCTCTAAGACTGGACGTAGGGCTCCGGCCTGAACCAATATAAATCCTCGTGTTTATTGGATGCCACCATCATCTTCCTAGAGCATCGTGGTAATTGTATAAGTTTACTAGTCTAGCTTACAAAACACCGACAGTTGGCGCGCCAGGTAGGGGACCGCCGCGCACTCTCGATTGTTGAAGGAAGCGATGGCTCCTCACACTGTTGGTGAACTCGCTAGTGGAATAATCCACGGCGGCCACATCCGCCGCAAAAACTATGAGTTCATCAGCATCAAAGGCCTAGCGCCCACGTCCGTCTTCCGCCACGGTCCAGACCTCCACCTTGGAAATCTAGGTCCCATGGCCTACGACAAACACACTCTCAGAACTATCCATGGGGGCTACATCCCAGAGTTCCCTAATGTAGAGGGCCCATTGCCCTCTCTTAGTAGTGGTCGTGACCATGACTTCCACCCAGGGAGACAGATGGCCATGGCTCATGGTGACCTTGCCCAAGGAATGACCCGTGGTGGCCACATCCTCCTAGGGACCCATGAGTTTGCTCAAGCCGGTGGGGCAATGCTCGTCACTAGCTCTTACCTAGTCCAGACTTGCAGCGTGGCAAAACTGGACCCTACGGTAGAATCTCACCCCAGATAGTGTCTCCGCCATCGAAACACAACGAGCCAGGGCGTGCATGAACGACTAAGCTACCCACCGCCACATGGCATCATCGTTAGTAATCGAGCCGCTAACTAGCACCACACCATGCAGGGTTAAGCCCGGAACTAGGATCTGATCCTGCATAACAGGCTAGCTGTGCAACACACTTTGGAGGACTATCAACCGTCATTCGGAGGCACATGCATCCGAGGAAGCAGTCCCCCAGAGTGCACCACACGCCACGACGAGCGAATCGATCCACATTGCACTCAAGGCTAGCTTCCACAGCGACAGGTCACAGCGGTTCCTTGTCAGAAGCAGCAGCTCCACCCAGAAATGGAGACGCGGTAACAGTGATGTTGTCGCGCCAAGAAGATTCAAGCGTCGGAATGCGCGAGCCGTCCCGGTCTGAAGCTACAATGAGCCAGGTGTGAAGAAGCCCTCCTCAGGGGCTCGTAGGCCCCTTGAGGATATAAAGCTGGCAAGGATCGACCCAAGGCCACCCAAAAGGCCAATCCAAGCCAGCTACGACCACTCAAAGCGGTAAAGAAGCGTCCCCATCAGTTCATGGCCCAAGGACTATGACAACTCCATCGTGGGCAAACACTCGGGGGCTTGCAGCACCTCGCGAAACAACTCTGCCATGAGCCGACGCTCGGGGCTCGCCACGCCCCGAGCTATGACAATCAGTTCATCGCCAACTTCTAGTACATCGGTCAGTCATATCCACCCTAACCTTAGCCTCACCACCCAAGCACGTCCACATACACATACGAGCCTACCAATAGCCATAGAAACCCAGGGTCAACCCTTAGAGCAAACAAGGTAATATGATATCCATGCAGTATGACCTAGTAGTGCTCGACTCCCGAGTGACTCGCTATGGTTAGCGCTCGTGGCCGGATGTGACTCACTCGCGGAGGCTACACTCATAGGCACACACACACGATCCATGGCATAACACCGTCTGTCATTGTCCCAGTGATCCATCCATCTTGAACTCTTTTCCGATAGCGCCCCTCGCCGCGATGAATCGATGACCCAAGCCTCGACTTCTTATTAGCATGAATGGGGCACTCGCTCGCTCAAGGCGAAAGGGACAGGAGGGAAAAGGCCACGAGCCACCTGCCCACTTTCTTCTTG